ATATAAAATTAATCCTTTGAGACTTGATTGTCATTTTTCCTTTTTAATATATACATGTGTGACACCACATGTTGGATTTTATTATCACACTTTTAACTATTAATTTAATTCTATGAATACTACTATATTTTATCTGGAATTTTTAAATGAAGTAAAAATTTAAAAGTAAAAACTTCTTTTTAATTTAGTTTTAAACTAATTCAGTAATTAATAATTAGTATTTGGTGCTAATAAATTTTTCTTTATTTTCTTCTAAAATCAACATCTAAATAGATTGTGGGAAAAAAAAAGTAAGGGAAAATGCCAATAAAATTTCTAAGAACTTTTTTGTTATTAGTAAATTTATGCAAATGATCAATTGCCTTTGTAACAATATAAGAAATTTTACATGCAAACTTGTAATTTACTGTTGTATTATTGTAAATATAAGAAACAAAGTTGTTATTATTTAAATAAAACTTGTGATCATTACTTATTATTTCCAACACTTATAACAATATTAGGAATTTTATATGTGAAGTTGTGATTTATTGTTGCATTGTTGCAAACATAAGAAAAAAATTATTTAAACAAATCTTGTAATCATTACTTATTCTTTTCAATACTTGTAGCAATATGAAGAATTTGACAAGCAAAATTGTGATTTGCTGTTATATTATTGTAAATATAAGAAAAAATTATGATTATTTAAACAAAACTTGTGATCATCACTTATTATTTACAATACTTATAGCAATATTAGGATTTTTATTTTCAATAAGGACAATTTGATCATTTATATAAAATTCTTTAATGACAGAAAAGTCCCTAAAGACTTCAATGAAATTATGACATTTTGAAAGAACAAATTTTCATTTATATAATTAAAAAAATTTCATTTTTTCAAAAAGTAAAGCATATGGAAAGTTCAAAATCAATATTCATGCCCACTGATGTTTCCGGAAAATTAATCTTTTAAAGATAAAAAATAAGATGAATATCTAAAATCCATACTTTTCGAAATTGTATCCTAAATTAAGATTTAGGAAAAAAAATAATTATTATTTTCTTATAAGTAAATAAATATAATTAATATTCTTCCATCCTAATTTATAAAAAACTTTCAGACAAAATTATGCATACTAATAACTCATATACTTTACAACCTTATTTTTTCAAGATAAGAATATTAAATTTTAAAAATTTTCTTCATTTAATACTTTGTTTGTGAAAGAATATTGAAAAGAGAGAATATAATGAAAAAAATAATATTTAAAAAGTATCATTAATGAAATTTTATTTTTGTCAAAATGTTTTATATTTTAGGATGTTGAATCTTCAATAAAAGTGTCTTAAAAATTTGGACAAAGGGAATACTATAAAACTTCTATAAATTTAGAGGTAAAATTAGTGAATTTATATATTGAGAGGATGAATCATAGATTTTATATATTTTTATCCCACATTTTCTATACATTTTAATGATAATTTTGGGCTAATTTGGTTTTATTAGATATTATTGGAATTATAAGCTAATTTTTAAAAATAATATATTTTTGGATTAATTATAAGAATTTTGAGCTTAAATTGTTAATATTTTATTTTCCTATTTAGAAAATGGTTTAATTTTGTCAATCTTTAATTGAGCTTCATTTGAATTATCATACATTAATTGAGCTTTTGGCCATTTTGTAAAAAAAATTTACTTGTTGAAAAAATTAATTTGAAAATATTTAATGTGACATGAGGTTTATTTTGGACATAATCGACATTAATAGGTTTATGTTGATTTTTTAGGTTAGGAAAGCACAATTAATAAAATTCAATGGTAAAAGTTAATTCTTGAGTTTCAAAATACATCCAATGTTCAAGACTTTAAAAGACAATTACGGAACTAGCAAGGTTCATTAAGGGTACAAAGAACATTTTTAATAAAAAAACATTAAATAACTTTTATACTTTTTTTTTCTTATTGACATTTTTTAAATTTAATAGTTGAGAATTTTTTTTTTTTTCAAAGCTCTCTATCCTCTTTTTTATTTATGGGATGATTTGCTCCAAACCCTTTCTTCCTCTCATCAATATACACTCACCGCCGAAATGAATTGGGGAAAATCTCTCTAATTTTTAAATAACTTTTACACTTTTTACACTAGCAAGGTTCGTTAATGGTACAAAGAACATTTTCAATAAAAAAATTAAATAACTTTTATACTTTTTTTTCTTATTGACATTTTTTAAATTTAATAGTTGAGATATTTTTTTTTTTTAAAGCTCTCTATCCTCTTTTTTATTTATGGGATCATTTGCCCCAAACCCTCTCTTCCTCTCATCAATATACACTCAGCCGCCGAAATGAATTGAGGAAACTCTCTCGAGTTTTTATTTTTCTTCAGCGTGCATCATCATCATCAGCTCCAGCGTCTCTTTTCTTCCACTCCATTCATTCATGCCACCTCATCTCTTCTTCCTTTCTTCCACCAATCAATCACGCACCCACCATTCATTTCTCCATCCAATTCTTCTTCTTTTTTTCATTCATTCCAACACACAACCATCGAGAATACAACACACACACACACATCACGAGAATTGTCTCTTATTTCCATCTCCATTAATCATCTTCTCATGGCCGTGACTTGCTTGAAGCTTGGAGGAAGAAGGAAATCTATGGGAGCTTGAGCTAATTTGGAACTTGGGACAAGCATGAAAGAAGTTAGAACCTAGAATTTACACTTAAAAACTATTGGGTATTGATTTTTTTTATTTATCTTTTTAATTCAAGAGCTTAGAATTATTTAATTTTAAATAGTTATAAGTTGTAATATTGGGAGATAATTTAGTTTTAAATTGTAAATATTTTAAATTTTAGATTAGATTGATATTTGAATTGATTTTGTGTTTAATGAATTTATAAAATTTATGTTTATACACCCTTGCTTTGCCAATTAAATGGGTAAGTGACTTCTCATTGTTGATTTAATTGTTATTGTGGTGTTTATTGCAAATTTGGATTATTTCTTTTACCTCTTGATTGTTCAATTGAATTGGTAATTTATCTAATTGTTTATTTAGATAATTTAAATATATTTTTTAGATTTATTTTGAATTAATCATTATTGGTTTTAATAGATTTAATTTGCTTAATTCATAATTGTAGCATTTGGTTCATAATGAGTTCTCTAGTGAATTAAGTGTTAGATTTTGTGCTTGTGAGTTTTCTTTGCTTTAATTTGATAATTGAATTTATTAATTCTACCCTCCTATCATTTCTCTATGATCTAACTAATTGATTTGGGTTAGAAAAATTAACTCTATGTTAAGTCCTAAGTTGTCCCTTTTATCACATTTGAATCAAACTTTTCTTAATTTTTAGTTAGTTAATCCTTTTTGTCATTTAATTAATTTCTTTAGTTTACATTTCATTTTTTTCTTATCACAAAACCCCCCAATCATAATTTAAAACTTAGTGGCACAAATTGCATTTTCTAATTTGCATTTTTTAGAGTAGAAATCTAGCATTTTGTTTTGAATTTTTTTAGAAATTAAATACCTAGAATCAACTTAAAATAATCCCTAAATTGCTCCTTGAAAAAAATGATCTAGGGTTAACTTATATTATATTAAGTCAATCTTAATTTAATTGAATGCCGACACGATATAGGCATCCGCCAGAGAGTTTCCAAGAATCTCTTTTAGTTTGGGCAAATAATAATATCATGAAAATTTCATGAGAAATTAAGGAGAATAATAGAGTTGTCAATATCTATTGGCCCATCTTAAATTTATTTATTTTTTATTGCCCAAAGTATTTTTTTATTAAATGCAATTCTGTTCAAAATGCCGTCAAGCACTACCCTAAATTTTGTTGTTTCGAAGCTTAGCTTTTATCAACATGGCTACGGTTGCCTCAAAAAGCCTGCGTAGTTTCATTTTTAAATTTAAATTTCTCATTATGCTAATACTTATATAAACTCTTAACAGACCTGAAATCAAATATACAATTTTTTTAAAAGAAAATTAGTCATGTTAATAAACAATTTAACAAACTATATCATTTTCATATATTAATTTAAAAAATAAAATAAACCAAATAATTTTGAAATATTAATAATTTCAACCAAACAAGTTTTAACAATTTCAATTATCATCACATGTTGACTTGAAGAAAAAGAGAGGATGATACAGGGTACAAATGCTAGCACAATCCTATTTTCGACGGGCTTATAAGCCCTAAGCTCAAAAGTTATTTTATAAAAAAAAAAAAAACACTAATTCTTCGAGCTTGATCCTAAAAAAATATACCGCCTATTTAATTAGCTCAAAAGCCCAGCTCTTATTTATAGTTCAAAGCATAGCCACATAAGTTAAGTGATAAATTAGATTGTTTCTCTTTTAGTCATCAATTCTTAGTTATTAACCCCATACAACCTTACCAATTTTAGCAAGCTAAATTCAGAAATTCCAAACTCCTTTAAAAGACTTCCTTAAAAATAAAAAGAAGTATAAATAATAATGATTTAATAATTATATCTCATTACAACTATTTATATTTATATAAACGTGAAGAGAAGTACATAACTTTGGTAAATAATTTTAAACAAATATTCATTAAAACTGTCCCAACTGGAGTTCTCTTCCTTAAATTTAGATAATAACCATCAGATTCTTGATATAATGGTGGTCTGCAAATTTTCTTCTTTTAATAATAAATAGATACCTTTACCTTAACACCATTGCATCACAATCTCAAGGTTAATATCTCTCAATTGAATGGGATTTAAATCCCTTTTAGCTCCTCTTGATAGTTCACAAAAACACAAGAACATTATTAAAATAGGAAAAAAGATAGCCTGACTCTATAAGATGTGTCCACAGTTAGTATCTAACTCTAACTAATGGAATTTAAATCCCTTTTAGCTCCTCTTGATAGTTCACAAAACCACAAGAACATTATTGAAATAGGAAAAAAGATAGCCTGACTCTACAAGATGTGTCCACACCTAGTATCCAACTCCAACTTAGGATAAAAGGCTTGTGCAATTAATACTTGAGTCAAACACTTTCCTTTCATCCAATGCGAGTCCAGGTATAATTTAGTTTTTCAAATTGAAGCTCTAGGAAGGTTATTAGGATTGCTCCAAGAACCCTATTGAAAATTTAGTTGCATATACAAACCAACAGCTTCTCAAACTTTAGTGGTTGAAATGGAACAAGGTCCCACAATAATGTTGAAGCTCTTATGCAGGCAGTGAATGAGAAATCAATACCTAAAGAAAAAGTGATAAATATTACAGAATCAGAGATATCCCCACCTTAAAGTAAAAATGAAATTCATAAATCAGCAAATTTTTTTCTTTCAGAATACCAAATTTCCAACATAAATAAATCTGACATTTTCCATCTTTTATCCTCATGTATCTAATACTTCCCTCATGCACGCAGATTACAAAGCTTCCTTTGTAAGCGTTTCCATGATTTGATTCTCCAGTCCAAACCAGTTATCCTCCTACTGTGGTCCAAACGAAACTAAAAGCTAATACACAAATCAGTACTTTCATGTATAACAAAATCACTCCTCCGATGTACAACACGGCTTCTTAAACAAATAGATCACCAAAAAATCTGAATCTAATAAATAGGAAATCAATTCTTTACATTTTGGGAGTAAAAAAAAAAAAAAATCATCAGCACAAAGCTAGCAACAACTCATATATCTGCCGAAGATAGTGTTGAATTCAAGCGGTCTGTTGCTTCTCGTTGCAACTGGCCGTTCAGAACTTCTAAAATATCATTTGGTGGGCATTTGTCCGCAGGGTTCTTTGCAGATGTTTGGCAGAAGCATTCAGGCCAAGAATTTGTGTAGAAAGACTCTGGCGGAACACGGTTGTGAGGTTCGCCGAAACTAGTTTTGAGCATGACTCTCCTTACAGCTTCCTCAAAACCTGCCGTGCGCCCAGCCTCCCTATTGATGAATATTGGAGCAAGAACTTTTCTATCAGGTCTTATCGTAGTCCGGAAGCCGTAGTAAAGGCGATGTCCAAGGAGGTTGTTTGCAAAGTTGCTAGGGCCATCATACGTTGGCATGAAAATGTCAGACAGAAGACAGACCATGTAGTCCACTGCAGAACCAGCCAATCCTCTAGTGTTCTCAGCAAGCTCGTCAGAGGGTTCCATAGAACTATGATTCTCAAGTCGCGGAAACAAACTTCGGAATGGTTTCATGAATTGATCCCCACCAAATAGTTCCCCAGCTGCTAGATATATCCTGGTAGAATTGTCAAAACCCAGAGCATGCAAAATAAGACCGACCTGCAATACAAAGTCCAATTAACAACAATATCTTCAAGTTTGATAAAAAGTACTCCATCAAGTCCTTGTTATAAGGACCACCTACATGTTTCTTAATATAACACCTTTTGTCCAAAGCATTAGTTTTTCCACCTCATATCCCTAATTAATGATAAACTTCCTAACTAATTAAACAAACTCCTCCAACTAATGATTTTCATTGACGATAATTTTGAAACTTTACAAGGAATACCTAATTTTAATTAACTTTCTTAATCTATGGAAAGTTGTTAATAGATGTTTATAAAAAGGACTGGAGGGAGTAATCACTAGCCTGTATTCAAAGGTTAATAACTTTTACCCACAGAAACAAATTATTTTTTCCTTGGCCAAACAATGACAAACAAGTTGAGAAAACAATAAGCAAAAATACATGTTTACCTCCTCAGGAGTCAATGGGCATTTCCCAATTGCCCTTCTTTCACTGTAGACAAGCTTTTTAGGAGCAAAATTTTCTTCTCGATACTTTCTCAGAATCTTTTGGTCCTCAGGAGCAAATATGTCAAAGCATCTAAAAATGAAATAAGAACACCACATGAGAATCTGAAAAAGAAGAATTCTTATCTTGTTTGCAAAACGAGTTCATTTGTCTACTCTTGGATCTGTATCACTTGCATGCATACGAGAAAATTTCACTCACCATAACAACAACAACAACAACAAGCCTTTATCCCACTAGGTGGGGTCGGCTACATGGATTGCAAGACGCCATTGTGCTCTATCATTTATTAAGCTTTTAGAAATATTATTAATTAAGAAATCACGTTCAACAACTTCCAAGAGTGTTCTCTTAGGCCTTCCTCTACCTCTCTTAGTCGGACTCAAAGTTATATGTTCCACTCTTCTCACTGGTGCCTCCCTTGGTCTTCTTTGTACATGCCCAAACCATCTCAACAGAAAATTTCACTCACCATACAAGAGGAAAATATTCTATTCACAAAACAGAGAATTCAATTATTCAATGATTCAACAAATTATTCAAATGTAACCTAGCTAGTGATAGCCGAAAGAACACTCAACTTCATGATTACATTAACTCTCCGTGCATATTCAAGTATAGCAAACACTAAACGCCTCAATGAGAAGCAATTTCATTTTACTACTTCTTACCAATATTTGCTTAGCTCATAACCTCTTAGACAACCCCTTCATCTCTTCCTCATAGAAGATGCCCCATATAATACACCAAAACAATAAAAAAGTAGAACAAATGAGGCAAAAATACTCACAAAGTAATCAATTGGGAGCATTTAGTATCCTAAAATGAGAAAAGGTGCACAAATACTCATAACATTATTTAAATTGGTGCAAAAGTCACCAAACCATGAAATTGGCCAGATGTCCATTATTTTGCACCATTAATGCTGATTCTGCTTGCCAGCGTGGAGTGTCTTGGTGCAAGAGTCACCTTGATGATATAATTATGTAGGCTTACGGCTCTAGAGGTGGCTATGGAGGCTCACCACCTTCTCATGGAATCTTATCACATGGTGGAGGTGGAAGTTATGACCCAAGTCCTTCACCACCCTCTAGGGGAAACTGTAACAGTGGATCACCCTTGTATGAACCTTCCCCGATGACTCCAACACCACCATCAACCCTGTCAACACCGTCAAACCCATCATTCAAAGGTGGTGGTTACTATAGCTCACCATCACCAATACCAACTTATGATGGTAATACCCTACTGACACCTTCATATGGGGTGCTATTACAGCAAAAATTATAGGCCCCCAACACCATCTTATGGCGGAAACATCCCTCCAACACTGCACTCTTTGAGCCCACCAACCACCCCAATCAATCTAGGAACACCACAATACTCTTGCTTTCACTCATTTTGTTTGTTGCCATGCAAGCTATTGTCACCACCACCAAACTACTCCCACCCTTGATTCTAGTTTCTAACTCCCTCTAACTCAATTCGATCAATGTCTGTGGTGGTTTCCATCTAGTTAATTAATTGATGATGGCAATGCCTAGATGTTTAGCCAGGGTTACGTTGGTGGAAGCAGACTGTGAGAGATAGAGGAGGAGAGGTCATTGAAGTTGCAGGAGAGCCACTGCGGGTTTAGGGCGACTATAGTGATGGCCGGGATTGATGAGGACTCTGTGTATGTGGGAGTGGGGAAGAGAGAGACAAGCATATAGGGATAGAAAGAGAGGAGAGAGAAGGGGAAGTGATAGGTGATTATGGAGGGAGAAAATGAGAGAAGAGACAAGGGGAAGAGAGAGACTAGCATGCGTGGAGGAAGAGAATGAGATGAGCCATGTTATCTTTTTTGTTTCCATGTCAACAAAAATAAGTCAACCATCTACTGAGGTGTCACTAAATGGTCAATGTCAGAGCTAATTTCATGGTTTAGTGACTTTGCACCAACTTAAATAACCTTATAGATTTTCACACACCTTTTCTCACTTCAGGATATTGGATGCTCCTAGCTGACAATTTTGTGGGAATTTCTACCCCTGTGCCTAAAAAAAATGCCATATTTAGGCACATCTGGAATCTACAACAAACAACAAAATAAGGAAGGCCATAATTCAAGTTTTTGAGAAGTGATCACAATTTATGAGCCATGTAGAAAAGCAATGAAATGGGAAAAGAGTAAGGATGTTGGGAGAGAAAATCTATCTATCTATATATGGTATAAGGAAGCTCTATTATTCATAAGCCATTAGCAGTGCGATTAGCCAGACTCCATGGAAACACAAGACACACATACTAGTTCTAGCTGATATAAAAGTTGATATAAGTGGCCTGAAATTCAAGTCTGTTGTGTTTAATTAGGTCCGTTTATAGGGAGCCCAATAATAACTTCAATATAGAAAGACAATAATGAGACCCAAACCAGTATCACAACAAAACAGAAACCAAAAGACGGAAACAACAATAAATGAGGGGAAAATGCTGAGCTTTTTGATATCAATAGAATGAGAGAAACCGAATCAGAGTTACAAGACTTCTTTTGATTCTAGCCAAAAACTTATCTCCCCTAAAAGATCACAAAAGTAACAGCATTACAAGTTATAAACCTCACAAAAGAGGGTTCACTCCTCCTGGCGTTCGAGAGGCTAGTCTCCTCACAAATCCCTCACAAAAGACATCTCCCCCCTCCCTCATACCAGCAAAAGACTTCTAATAGTTACAGCATGGCTTCCCCACAGCCCATACCGCCCAAAAAGATACTAATCATAACACAAGATCATAAGTCACTGTTCCTTATGACTAGGATCCAAAGGATAAACCTTTGGACTAGTCAAAGTGTTTCCACTTGAGTCATTCGCCTTCTTTGTCTTCCTCATACAAGTCTTAGGAAAATAACGGGTTCTATCATTACCCTCCCCTAAAAGTTTCACCTTATCCTCAAGGGGAAAAACTGAGAATTGTTTGCTGATCATGTCAGCACACTCCCAAGAATTTTCAAACTCAGGTAAATCATGCCATTTAACCAACACTTCGCATTGTCCACGCAAAAGCTTTCAAACCTTTCTAATATCTTCAGGTTGCACTTGCAATTCAAGCTCATTAGAAAGGCTTAGAGGGATGGTAAGATTCACAACAACCAAATGTACAGATTTTTTACGCTAGGAAACATGAAAGACAGGGTAAATGCGAGCTGTGGGAGGCAATTTGAGTTTGTATGCTACCATCCCGACCTTCTCAAAAACCTTGAAAGGGCCACAAAAATAGGGGCTTAGCTTTTCATTGACCCTCTTAGCTAAAGTTTTTAGCCTACAAGGCTTGATTTTCACATAAACCAGATCCCCAATAGCAGACTTCACATCCCTTCGGTGCTTATTGGCTTGCTCTTTCATCTTGCTTTAAGCCTTAGCCAAATTGTCTTGTAAAAGAGAAATGATCTGATTTCACCCTTGAATCTGCTCATTTACATCTTCAATAGCTTAAGGTTCGCCACTTAATTTCAAGAATGTAGGAGGATGTCGACCATAGACTACCCTAAAGGGTGTCATACCAACTGCACCATGGTAAGAAGTGTTATACCAATATTCAGCCTATGATAACTATTTAGCCCATTGAGCAGATTTTTCATTTGCAAAGCAATGCCAGTAAGTCTCTAAGCTCCTATTTAGCACTTCAGTTTGTCCGTCAGACTCCAGGTGGTAAGCTGAACTGAGGCAAAGTTGAGTATCGGCCTGTTTGAACAATTCTTGCCAAAACTGGCTTATAAAAATTCTATCTCGATCTGAGACTATGATTTTAGGAAAACCATGCAGCTTTACCATTTTTGTTGTGAACTTTTCAGCAATGTCTTTTGCGGTAAAAGGATGGGAAAGAGAGAGGAAATGAGCATACTTTGTGAGTCTGTCCACAACTACCAAGTAGGGAGCCCGATAATAAAATCCATGCTAATATCCTCTCAAACACTTGATGGAACAGGTAGGGGTTGCAACAGGCCAGTGGGAGACAAAGCTTCGTATTTATTCTTCTGACACACCTCACAATTTGCTACATATTGCTAGACATCTCTTTTCATCCCTTCCCAATACACAACACTAGACAGCCTCTTGTAAGTGCATAAATACACCGAATGCCCGCCAATTGGTGAGTCATGAAATTCCTTTAGTAACATAGGAATTCTAGTTGAGTCCTTGGGCAGAACAAGCCTTGCTTTGTAGTGTAAACAACCATGCACCAAGCTGTATCCTTCCACTCCTTTCTTTTCAATAATAATTTGCTGCAAAATCTGACTCAATTTAGGATTGGCTTGCACCTCCTTCTCCCATTCTTCAGCATCATTAAACTGCCATGCAGAAAATCCCATTAATTCCAGCGATTCTTCTTGCCTCGATAGTGCATCAGCTGCTCTATTTTCTTTGCCCGGCTTGTATACAATCTCAAACTTGAATCCCATTAATTTAGAGACCCATTTTTGCTTATTTTCATTTATCACTCATTGTTCCAGCAAGTATTTCAGGGCCTTCTAATCAGTACGGATAATGAATTTATGTCCCTAAAGGTAGTGTCTCCACTTTTTGACGGCCATAACAATGGCCATGAGCTCTCTTTTATAAATAGAACATTGTTGGGCTCTATTTGAAAGTTTTTGGCTAAAATAGGCTAGTGATCTGCCTTGTTGCATCAGAACTGCCCCTACACCTGCACCGGATGCATCTGTCTCAATCTTAAAAGGAATGGTGAAATCGAGCATAGCAAGCACCGGAAGTGTGGTCATGGCTGTTTTAAGTTGTTCAAAAGCCTCTTCTGCCTCAGGTGCCCACTTGAATGCATCTTTTTTGAGTAAATCAGTAAGCGAACTAGCAATCTTCCCATAATTCTGGACAAACTGACGATAGTATCCTGTCAGCCCAAGGAAACCCCTTAAGGACTTCACATTCTTAGGCTTAGGCCACTTCATCATGCTCTCTATCTTGGCTGGATCTGCCTGAACCCCATCCTTTGATATAAGATGTCCTAAATATTCAATCTTGGACTGTACAAAGCTGCATTTTTTTTAAATTTATTACAAGCTGATTTTCTTTCAAAGT